TGAAATATATTGATAACAAAAAATAAAAAATAAAAACGAACAAAAGAGAGAGAGAGAAAAAAAACAATGATACTAATGATAAAACCCTTCGCACAAGGAACATAATAACAACATTATAAGTCAATGGATAATAACAACACTCGGATAACAAGAGATCGATTATGATATACTGAGAACAAGAGTGAAGCAAGGTTGGATAAGCCATCAAATGAATTGGGTAAAAATAATGACATTTTTTTGACACTTTGAAACAGTTATCAAAAGTTATTATCATCATTCCTAATATCATATTCATTTCGGAGCTATCGTTATAATTAGCGTTATTATGATCATCGTATGTATTATTACTATCATTATTATTATTATTTCTATCGTATTACCATCTTTATTTTTATCCGAATTATTTACACTTTTCTTATCATTGACCTTTATCATTCATCATTACAACTCTTATCAATAGCATCATTAGTGCTAGCGTTGTAATCATGCCACATTTATAACCATTATTCTACTATAATATTCATGAATATCGTATCGCTATATTCTCTCTCATATAGTATAATGATATAATAATATGATCATATAGTAATATAATAATAATAATTTTAGTATAATGATATAATAATATGATCATATAGTAATATAATAATAATAATTTTAGTATAATGATATAATAATATGATCATATAGTAATCCTAATAATAATAATTTTAGTATAATGATATAATTTGATCATATGTATATAAATAATAAATTTTAGTATAATAATGTTTGCCGATATAATTTTGATATATTGAAATATGATATATACTACTAACATAAGAAATAGTAATAATGCAAGAAAGATGTTAATGATTACAATCGTGATAACTATAATACTAATAATGACATTGGTGCTAATAAAAATAATAATAGTAATATTCATAAAAATGATGATTATCACAACAACAACTATTACTATTATTAATATCATAATTTTCATCAGTATCGTTATTATTTTTAATATTACCATCATTATCTTTATTACCTTAGTAATAATAATAATAATAATAATAATAATAATAATAATAATAATAATAATAATGATAATAATAATAATAATGATAATGATAAAAAAATAATGATAATAATGATAATATTAATAATAATAATGATAATAATGATAATAATCCTAATAATAATAATTGTTATTATCATCATTATTATTATAATTACTACTGCCACTACTAGTATTGTTATTATAATTAATTTTTTTCTTAAATTCACTCCCCCTCTCTCCCTCTAGCCCCACATCTGCCTCCCCCTCCTACCCTTCCTCTTCTCCTTTAACTCCCCTCTTCATTCTATTCTCTCCTCCTTCCCTCCTTCTCCTTTTCTTTTCTCTGAGCCTCGTCTGCATTCCTCCTCCCTCTCTCCTTCTTCTCCTCCTTCCCTCCTTCTCCTTTTCTTTTCTCTGAGCCTCGTCTGCATTCTTCCTCCCTCTCTCCTTCTTCTCTAAAAATCCTTTTTGTGTACCTTTCCCCATCTCCTTTTTATTCCTCAAGTTCCCTTCCTTCCTTTTTATCTCTTTCCCCTTCGTCTCCTCTTCCTTTTCCCTCTCTGCTCCTGTTTTCTTTCTGTACGTCCCCCTCGAATGAAAGAGATATTGATGATAATGAAAATAATAATAATAATAATAATAATAATAATAATAATAATAATAATAATAATAATAATAATAATAATGACAATAATGACAATAATGATAATAATAATAGTAATAATAATAACAATAATAATAACAATAACAAGAACAATAACAATAACTATAGTATTACAACTACTCTAGAATAATGATAATGACAAAAATATAATGATAATACTAATAATGATGATTATGATGATTAATATGATAATGATGATGATAAAATAATATAATATATAATGATAAATAATGCAAATAACAACAATAGTAATAATAATGATACAATAATGATAAAATAATAGGGATGATGATAGATAGTAATAAAGTGATGATGAAAATAACAAGAACAGCAACAACTAAAACAATGACCATATGATGATAACAATAACACTAAAAAGTACAAGGTAAGTTCAGACAACAATTGTTCGTAATGATGGTGATCACGAACTACGTACAATAATAACAATAAACAGCAATATATTACCCGGCATGCTCTTCATAACAAATGACCCAAGTTTACCATGCTATATGAACTTGGAGTGGAATAGAGACCTTGTCCACAGTATGTAAAGTGATCCTTCCTCCAACCCCTCCCCCCACCACCCCACTACATCCTCCCTGCTCCCCACTAAGGCTTGTAATCCCCCACCCACTCTCACCCTCTCCCCCCATCCACCACATCTCTCCCTGCTCCACCCATTAAAGGCTTGTAATCCCCACCACCTTCTCCCTCCTCCCACAGCCACCCTTTCTTCTCCTGTTCCACCACTAAAGGCTGTTATATCCCTCTCACCCCCTCATCCACCCACAACATCCTCTGTTCCACCACTAAAGGCTTGTAATCCCCCTCTCCCCTCTCACCCTCCTCACATCCTCCCTGTTCCCACTAAAGGCTTGTAATCCCCCCCCTCCCCCCTCTCCTCCCCCAATCATCTGCTCATCCGTGGGTCATCTTAGGTCATAAGTCGACCTTTGACGAAGACTTTTCCTCAGCCCTTCTAACGCTGTCGGCCACCCTCGAGGAGAAAGTTCGAAGGTCGTCCTTGAAGGTTTTGTTCCCTTCTCCTACTCTCTCTGGAGGAGGTCAACGCTCATCCTCAAAGCCACTGGCCGTCCGTATCCTATCCTGCCTACCCCCCCTCCCCGAAGAAATAAGAATTCTCAGGTCACCCTTGATGGGTTTCTCTCGCATTCTCCTTCTCCGTTCGAAGGAAAACCCATATCGCCCTTACCTAGAATCAATACCCACAAGTACTCCCTCCCTTGCCCTGAAATGGACTATGAGGTCACCCTTGAACATCTGGGACACCCTTCACTCCGCCCTTTCACCTCTAATCAAGAAGAAGAACTCAACAAGTTTACATACCTATGAGATCAACTCAGAGAACACTCTGCAGGTCATTACTCTTATGAAACTCAGGACAGATTCCCTTCTTCTGTCCCCTACCTTTTCCCCTTAATAGAGAACGACGTCACGAGTGCAGTCTGTTGAACTCGACAGAACACTCCAGACAGCTCATGCCTCGGAACGTCACAGAAAGCACCCAGCGGGGATCATCCTTAAGACTCAGGAAATACCCGGCACAGTCAGCTTGACTCAGAGAGAAACTCACAGGTCATGACCTTGAACTGCACAGAGAAAAACTGTCATACAGGTCAATGTTTACATACCTTGAACATAAGAGGAACACTCAAGGACATCCTGAACTTTGCAGTAGATTTATGTATTTCACCATACAGGTCATTATTACCTTGAACTCTACATGAACACTCACAGGTCATTCACTTTAGAACTCAGAGAACACTCACAGGTCATCCTTTGAATCACACTACTAGATAATCACTCCAATAGGTTCATTACCTTGAACCACTACAGAACACTCAACAGGTATCACTTGAATCATTCACAGTAAAAAGACTCACAGGCATCCTGAATAACTCAGTGACACCCTTCTCATTTAAATTCCTGCGTCTCTCTTTGCCTCTTCTTATGATGAACAAATTACAAGTCAATTACACTTTCGAACTCAAGAGGAACATTCACAAGGTCATTTATGCTCTAGCCTGTGAATCTTAATATAGAGAACCACTTCACGAGGCTACATTTCACTTGAATCCTCAGAGAAGCTCAGATATTGGTTCTATCCTTGATACTCAGAGAACACTCAAAGTACATCACTTCGCAACTCAAGAGATATACACATTCAATATATAATCCCCAGTCAGTTTTTACTCTTACTTTGAACTCAGGAGCACATACGACTTACGTCACCGACCAGCTTCTCGCCCTATCATGCATCACGACTTGACCACTACAGTCATCCTTCAGACTCAACCAAGGAGAGACACTCGACGTCATCCTGCGAGAAACGCACATAAGCATCTCATCTAAGCTCATGTTTTCACCGCTCCACGCACTCAAAGACACCCAAAGAGTCACCTCGAACTCAGAGAACACTACACTATGGCTTCATCCTTGCCGACCACTTTCGACGAGGACATCACTCGCGAGGTCATATCATCCTTAGGCTCAGACAACAACATCCGCAAATGGTCATCCCCTGAACCATCTAGAGTAACGACGCGTCACAGTTATTATTGCTGCTTGAACTAGTGAGGAGACACACTGGCACGATTTGGCATTCTCTCGTGGAACTTAACTACATAAACCCACTCACAAGGTCATGTCTCCGGGAGACTCACAACTAGAGAGGCACATCAGCAGGGTCATCCTTGAGCTACGAGCCGACAGTAGCCGGCTTGAGTCATATGCCTTCACTCTCTGCTCTTTCTCCTTCTTATTAGATGTAAGAGAGTTCACTTTATGGGCGAGTTGTCTGTTGTATACTCGATCTAGAACACTCCGCAGGTCAATCTAAACTCAGAGAACACCACAGGTCATCCTTCGAACTCAGAGAACCTCACAGGTCAATCCTGAATCACGAGAACACTCACAGGTCCATCCTTGAACTCAGAGAACACTCACAGGTCATCCTTGAACTCAGAGAACACTCACAGGTCATCCTCGAACTCAGAGAACACTCACAGGTCATCCTTGAACTCACAGAACACTCACAGGTCATCCTTGAACTCACAGAACACTCACAGCTCAATCCTTTCAAGAGAACACTCACAGGTCATCCTACTCAGAGAACACTCACAGGTCATCCTTGAACTCAGAACACCCTTCTCCCCACCCTTTCCCCTACAGACAACACTCACAGGTCATCCTTGAACTCAGTCAGAGAACACTCACAGGTCATCCTTGAACTCACAGAACACCCAAAGGTCATCCTTGAACTCAGAGAACACTCAC